GACTAGAACCACCTACACAAAACAGATCAGTAGTAGTCACACGGAATAAGATAAGTTAGGCAACTTACTCGCTCTCTCCATTCTGGATAGGTCTTAAGAAACAGCTCATATGCCAGAAGCTTCTGCTTAATCCCTCCTGGTGCATCCAATCGGTCCCGCGCTACTATGAGATTTTGCCCTTGGTATTTATGGCTGATGCTGTGTATCCAACCCTTGACCTCGGTGGATTGGCGTAATAGATAAAGTGATATGGGGTCAATCCCCAATGGAGAATTCACAACACTGACGTATCGATCATTGAGGTGAACTTGATTGGCAGAGACCTCTAGCCTCCTCAACCGGCTGCAAGAGTGAAGAAAGTGGTTACAGTATTCCTCTGTCTGGAATCCAATCAAATCAGCGCCCAGAAGTCCATCCAACAGTTCTTTGCGTGAAGTCAAACAACGGAATATCTCGGAGGAAGGAAACGGGGTGTGTAAGAAAAACCCTATCTCGGCCTGGGGTAATCTTTCCCTCAGAAGGCCAGGAAGAACCAGAAGATGATAGTCATGAACCCAGATTCTATCACCCGGCTTCCAGTGTTTGATAATTGTTTCTGCAAATGCCTTGTTGAGCTTGAGGTATTGGACCCAAGAGTAACCGTCGTACTCAGTATGCCGAGGGCTTTCTTGCATCTGATAATGAAGGGCTGGCCAAAGTACCGCGCGACAGAAATGGGTGTAATGACCCTCAAACTCGTTGTCACTCACAAACACAGTCAACGAATCATACACATCCTGGAGGGTCTCGGCGATGTCTGTCCTGGTAGTATTTGCCAATGAGTCGGTAGGCATGCCCAGAGTGCCCACCCAGATCTTGTCCTTGAGCAAGCTCAACTTTTCAGCGGCGTGGATGGCATTTTGTAGACCTCCATGGCCTTGTTCGGCGGCCTTGACGACCCAGTCAGCATTGGAGAGCGAGACTCCTGTGCTACTGTGGTAGGTCATGCCCCATCGATCCTGTGATCCATCCAAAGATAACTCCCTTCTTGGTCCCTGGATTGGGCCTCGACTGCTCGAAATGGACGGTGTTGGAGGATCTGCCGCCCTGGACTTGGGCTGATTAAACCTCCGGCTGTGTCCCCAGTGAATAGTACGGGGCTCACTGGGGCCGTGCCACAATCGATCATTGGCAATCGGAATCTCATCTGCTACTCGCAAAGTATATCCTTTGAAGACCGTCTCGTCTTCTGTCGTGGCTCCGGGGGTTAGTGGGAGAAAGTCTATGGGACGATGTTGATGATAGGTATCTGGCAGGCACCCAACGATAGATCCAGGACCATCGACATTTGCATGGCTAGGCATGGACCCGTGCTGTCCATCCTTGGGTTCCTTCACTTGAAAATCGATGGTATATGGGAGGAACCTGGTATATATCATGTCAGATCTGTGAAGCTTTGTAGGTTGAGGAACTCACAAAGATGCAATGAAAACCGTCATTGCTGAATTGCAACCCCAATGTAGTTATGTAGTTGGTGAATCAAGAATAGTTGAACGCTGAGGATGAAAGGGCTCGGACTTTTGAAGCGGAAGGAACAACCCATTGCCACTGCCCTATGTATCTCGATCTGCTATCTGTTGTGCTTACAGGCTTCACGGTGGGGTCTCTTTATACTTCTTTTGATGACTTTGGTTAAATAAAATGAAAAGGATATGCATATAACCTTAATGAAATAATGAAAACTTTAGCTGTATATGCAAGATATATCTAGTAGAAATGTTGCTGTAAATTCTTTTATCAAATTCCCACCGTGAGGTCTTTCTAATATTATTAAACTGTAACCATTAGTATTTATCACGGTTTAACTTTTTAAACCGACTACAGAATTGAATTTGCTAACGAGAGCGGATATTAGATGTTGTGTGAGGTTGATGCTTGACTATGTACGTCGGACTGCATATCTCCGTTCAGTGGCCGAAACATTTGACATACTATTATCGAAGGCAGCCTTTTAGTGACTTTAAGTAAGTTGAGATTTTGGTATCTATTCAACTCTCTGGAATAAATCTGGCTATCATAAAAAAAGCCCTATCTCATCTAGGCTACTCGCAATCATGACCATTAACTACATTACGGAGTAAAATAGCAACAATCAGCCAACCACGCAAAGATAAATGGTGCAGGCAAAGTAAAAAGCAACCTTCCCCATTATAGATAAGAAATATGCCAAAGATAAAACAATGAACACATCGACTATTACTAGTAGTGCTAGTTGTTGGCGAGAACACGTGACTACCCTCTCCTCTGTATGTAGTTACACGGATTTTTCAGAGTGCCTCCTAGTAGTTTGTTTCTCTAGGTCTTCTGTTCCTCATGAATTCAATAGTATATGGCAAGGAGCGCATAGTTGAGCACGGTCCGACGAAAGTTTGCCGACCTGAGTCATCATATTCGACGGGTCAGCCGATAAGGCGCGAAAAGAATCAACAGCTTGCGACAACGACAGAGCTAGAGTGGATTAGCGTATGACGTTTTGGCCCACACTAGCTAACGCTATGATCCCGTATATTCGTCAGAGTAACTCTATCAAATTAAACAAAATACCTGCATGGAGTAAAATGTCGAACTATGTCAACGTAAGGCTAAACTCAAGAAGTCAGCTGCACGGCGAGCCACCTATGCCGCGTGCGTGTTCTCTCTTCTTGGCTGGGGACAAGCCCCCCCACCACGTCAGTTGGAGGATACCGTAATCGTCGCAGTGTCACAGGATTGATAGATATTGGAGAGGTACGGAAGGATGCGGGTGCGGAAGGATGCGCAGGTATTGAATGGGTGTCGACGCGCGGAAATCAGAAGCGCTGCGCTCATACTCCGTATATCCACGGGAATGGAGCATCGATGGTGCATATAGCCTTGGCACCTGAAAAGAAAGAGCCAAGCTCATGGGATACGACAGCAGTCTTGCAGGACAGGTTGTGTCTTAGTTTAATAAATCATTCAAGCAATAAAGTCAAGAGACTCAGGAGAAACATGAGGTCTTGGCGCTTGGCGTCCGGGGTTAATTGGCTTGCTCGGCTCGTTAAGCCCAAATTGCTTTGAAATTCGGCATTTCTCCCTTCGCTTGTAGCATTGGCGTACCAATCCCATGGCAATAATCAGTGCCAATATGAGTGCCTTGCGTGTCGCGTACGAATCGGCTTTTGCTTCCAAGGTTGTTTCTAGGCAATACTACCTAACTGTTATTAGCTTTACCGTCAATACCGCTGATGAGAAGAGAAAATAACATACATTGATAAAAAACAAAATCAAATCAAATCAAATCAAATCAGAGTGATCACCGCAAAATTACCAATTGTAACTTCCTGTAAATGACCCAGTCTTTTTTGTGTAATTGATGCTCGCGCCATCCGAGCTAAGCATCGAGGCACTATTTCTCGGCATCGGAACTATAGGGAACGATATGTTAGCAAAAAAAAAAGGCTCGAAACTTTTGATACATATGACGGGTTATTCAACTACTTATGGGATGCTAACAATAATAAACCATTCAATTGCACAGCCACCTAGCATAGCCTCGGAATATTACTAGGCTCAAACGCGGCTCAGAAGATGAAACGACGGCGGTGGCGGATCTGTTTCCCCAGATAGAACGCCTGGTCAGTAATTTCCCGAATCATGCGATGTAATATATTTCAAGGCTGAATCTCGAATCTTGTAAATCTAAAACAATAGGATGATGAGTATGCAGTATTGCCTGTATCATTGATATACCACAGTCAAGGTAACCCTAACTATAATCTAATATTGTACCCCGTATAACTAGTCGCACCCGAACATGTCTGATTATTAATGCCATTGAGCCTGGTACCCTATGTAAACCAGACATATTTGGAGAGCCGATTTAGGTAAAGAGCCTTTTTCAACTCTGATTATTCATATGTAGGTCCGCTCATTGGGTACGATCCATGGATGTATACAGAGCCGGGGTTTCGAAGACAGGCGAGTTGTACTCCGTACATACGAGGTAGATCGACACGACCTAATCCTTTACCTAACTGAAAAAGGAAAAAGATACTTCCATAATTGGAACACTGTTTTTCAGGGTCTTCTTGTGGGTGATTCAAACGCGTTGTTGTGATTGGCGATGGAGTTCGAGTTCCTGCGGGTTATAGCGTTGTACGGAGTACGGACTAGCCCTAATGATCCGCACTATGTTGTATAATGTACGGAGTATTTTGACACGAGATCGAAGTATGAATCTCACATTCACATTCCCATCGGACGATTGAACGATTAAGTACGGAATATCCTAAGAATTACGATCTCACGTTGCATGGGACATTCATACCAAAGAAGAAGTTGCTTTGGAAGCCCCCCCCTTCATTGGGCTCCATTGGGATTTGACGCTAAACCATATTAGGCAATAAGCACCGCCTCAAAGCGGCTTAGTAGGCCCCGATCGTGCGAAATGCCAAGACGGACGCTTGCGCGTCTCCAGCCTTTGAGTGGAAAAGCGGACGGAAGAGTTGAGCTTTCGTACCTTGGCCGCGCGTTGGCCTTACAACGTATCCTCCTTAATATTTCTTTTCTTTTTTTTCTTTTCATTTTTTTTTTCCTTTTCTTTTTTGACATTTAGTTTAATGTTGATTTGGTACTCCATACAGAGTTCAATGTACTCTTACAGAATATACCAAACAGACCATGAGCTTTAATCATCGCCTTATGAACCCTCAAGGGTGTGCCCAACCGTGACTATTGTATATTGACGACAACCTTGGAAGGCTTTATTGCGTCACGGGCCAAGTTAGGGTATAAGGTAGTTATATTCTGACTCATGTGTAGTATCCATTACATAGTATGTACCTTGAATATACCCAAATCAAATATTAAGGTAATGAGTACTCCGTACCTACTCTGTATATATCAAGAACCAAAAAGGATGTATAGAAGCCTTCAAGCCATCAAAGTATAGACAACGCCAAGCAAACTAATAACGACCCATGAAAATCTGGGTGTGGACGTTACGTGTTCATGGATTCCAAAAATACAGAAATTACGGAAATTACGGGGAAACAGGGTCTTTCTCTTGGCCTTTTTTTTCGTTTTCGCACACGCGGCTTGGCCGCGGGGCCCGTGATTGGGGCCAGATGCTGACGACGCTCGTAATACTGCGTACGCTACTCCGTACTCTTGCCCTCTCCCTCCCTCTCTCCCTCTATCCCAAGGGCCTGCCTTTCTTTCTTTCCCTTCTTGACTCTCCAATAAGAGAGTGTGATCTTCAAGTGCTACGTCAACTCGAGCGAGGTAGTCCCTTCTTTACTACTCGTCTCTGACATCCCTTTCTTATCCTCCTTCCCTCTCCCAACCTTGGGTCAAATTGGACCTCTTTCGCCCAAACTCGATTGTTCACCCATTTCGAGTCATTCTGGATCTCAACATTCATCGTCTTGGAAGTCTGCCGTGACTTCCTCATCGACTATGGCGGACGGCAGACATCGGGCTACCCAGCCTGCCCCAAGTGGCTACGACGCCTCCTCTCTCACCCACGAATTCGAGCAGCTGATGCGCACCAAACGACTCAACCGACTTCATGAACCTTCTCGTTCGCATAATCACTCGCCATCGCCATCACCGTCTCCGATGTCCAGTTCAGCAATCCCTCCGCCGCCGACACGAGCTCCGCCACCACCACCTACGGCGGGCACCCCTGCCGCCGCTCCCTCCCCAAAGCCATCCACGACCTCATCAGCACTACGCGGTCTTCCTATCATGCCATCGCCCCCCCAGGATGCAGCTTCACTCAAATTTTACAATTTATTAAAGGGTTTATCAGTCACACCAACCAAGTACGAAAATCCGGGTCTATTGGATGAGGCGTTGTGCGTCATTCCGCTCGATCGCCTGTATTCCGAGGCCGAGGAGGAATCCCAAATTATGCACGCCCAGGCTGCCAGCGTCGCAGGGAAGCCGGAATGGGGCTACCAAGATTGTGTGATCCGAGCATTGTTAAGGTATGTTGGAATCCCTTGATGGTCTAGACTCTTTGCGCCCTTGCTAACATATCTATCTTTATCCAGATGGTTCAAGGGGTCATTTTTCCAATTTGTCAACAATCCTCCCTGCTCGAAATGCCACATGCCCACGATCGCCCAAGGCATGACGCCTCCAACCCCCGACGAGACCGCCCGAGGCGCAACCCGAGTCGAACTGTACCGTTGTTCCGATACTAGTTGTACCGCCCACGAGCGATTCCCGCGGTATTCCGATGTGTGGCAATTGCTGCAATCTCGACGAGGCAGAGTTGGCGAATGGGCCAACTGCTTTAGTATGTTCTGCCGTGCAGTCGGAGCCCGAGTCCGTTGGGTCTGGAACTCCGAGGATTATGTCTGGACCGAAGTGTACTCGGAACACCAGCGGCGATGGGTCCACGTCGATGCCTGTGAGGGCGCCTGGGATCAGCCTCGTCTATACACCGAAGGATGGCAACGCAAGATCTCTTACTGTGTAGCCTTCTCCATCGATGGTGCGACCGATGTCACCCGCCGCTACGTTCGCAACTTCTCTCGACACGGAAGCCCTCGCAATCGCGCCCCCGAGGAAGTTGTTCTGTGGTCGATTCACGAAATCCGACGCAAGCGTCGTGAAAACATGTCCAAGACCGACCAACGCCGCCTGATCAAGGAGGATGAGCGTGAGGAGAAGGAACTCCGGTGCTACACGGCATCTGCTCTGGCAGCAGAGATTACCAACATGCTCCCACAGGGCCTAACCGGTCGCCCCGAGGACCAGAAACACCCAGGTGCTCGCCAGGAGGCCTCGACCGAGTGGCTCGCCGCGCGAGGCCATGGTCACGCAGGACCCGACCGCTCCCGCGAAGGACGGTAAAATCACTGCTGGTAAACTGGCATCACATCAACCCCTTGGCTTCTGAAATTTCATATCAGCCACACCACTCATCGAACGATTGTGCGACCTGGATATTCAATAATCCACAGCCTCCTTTCTCGCATCGGAGGACTGACCGGGCGCAGCGACGTTCGAGAACCCCTTAGGTAACATTGGTTTCGATCATTGCCGAAAGCCGCTGCGGTCGCGCTGGGCGAATTCGTCCGCGCCGCTGACGTCCCCATTGGCGTCAGCATCAAAAGGACGACTATGCTATCTTGACAAAGATTTAAGCATTTGCGACCGCAGACTTAGACGAGCGGGCTCCCGGGCCTGCCTGTCCACAATGGCTGGCGAGGTTGACCAATTGTTTCCCTGATCATCGATCACACAATTCCTCTCCCATGCCCGAATCACCACAATATCTTTTCCTTCCCTTTTCTCTGAGATACGACATCCGGAGCCTGATTCTTTCCCGACTATCTTCCACTTAATATGGGTTACAACCGGGGTTTTCGCTTCGCGGGCTTTGCATGGCGCCCATGGTGACAACGATATCTTCTACTTTTCTCTTTTCTCAATCTTTATCTCTAATATGTTTGTGAACTGCCGACGACACATGTACGAGTCATGGATGCAGCCACCTTTTTTCTTCTATGTTCACTTTTGCATGTTCTGGCAGGATCGCCAGTTCGATCTTTTTCCTCATATACCTGACCACCTTTTTCAAGGGTCGATTTCATTTTCTACGAGTGTGCTTGCACCATTCATTACCACCATTCAATAACAATATCTCACTATTCTCCAAAGTACTTCGTATCCCATGAATAAAATACAAGACTAGTTTGATTATGATGTGCAATCTTCCCCGCGCTCTCCCTAGCGCCTCCGGTGGAGCCGAGTTCAGAGTTTTTGCCCCTGGCGACATCACACATCATCATCCTGTTAACCCTAGGAGATATCAGTCTATGTAGATATGTACATCATACTTCGTACTTGGAATGAGAAATCTAACCGGATATCATCTTGATTCTACACCATCCCTACCTCGTATAAGTTGAAACACGTGTTATATTTATAGGATGTATTTTTAGCCTCCTCTAGGTGGGTCCAGGGTCTCACATGAAGAAGTGGAGAGTATTCGTTAACAACATAGGGGGAGATAAGAAAAAGCCGAGGATTTTAATTGTGCGTACGGAGTATAGAAACTTAGTACGGAGTAGAATTTGCTGTATATTAAGTCGGACTATAGGAAATACATACGAACGTACTTGGTACGAGGTGTCGACGATACTCCGATACTCCGATCCTAATATGTAGATCTGCAACGGTGTCCTTGAACATACTCCGAAGTGATACCGAAACATGCAACCCCCAAAAAAAACAAGAACAAGAAAGTAATGACCCAATGTTGTATGTTGTACAAAATACATCGTCTATCGACTCGACGATCATTGCAACATACACAAAATAGTAATTAATCACGCCATTGCGGACCTTGAATGAGCATACCTCCATATACCTTCCTCACACCGCTGATATCCAGCAGTCTATACCCCTCCGCCGAAGATCCACTCCTATACGATCCAGTTCATGTAAATAGTACGACTGACCCTGAAGCCTGAGCTCCCAACTCCCCCGAGAAACCGTAGCGGTAGTCGTAGGATTCGAATAACCCCCAACAGAAGAAAACGACCCAGAATCCGATCCCAAACTCTTACAAGAGTCCTCATCCGAACTGAACCCACCACCCCCCTCCCCATCAAGCTCCACATCCAGATCCACATCCACATCATCCTTCTTACCACAGCAATCCCAATAATCGCGACTTCGATCCCGATCCGAACCCCAACCCCAACCCCGTCTCGAAACAGGCCTCACAACCAGCCCCCTCAAAGGCTCCAAAAACCCAGCCAATTTCTCAACTGGCTCGCTGAACCAATTACTCTCCAGCACGAGCACGAATGACCGCAGCGATCCCAGCTGCGACACTGCTCGACACGTCTCGCTCCACTGCATCCGTCCGGCGGACACGTACACCGCGCGCACGGAGTCTTTGCTCGGTAGCCAGTGGCCTGGGAAGGACCAGCGTAGCTCGATGGCGCGGATGCGGTCGCGGTGTTCGGGTGGGATCGTTGGGAGGAGGTATGGGAGGGTCCAGGGGTTACTGAATTCTAGGGTTGGGAGGGTGTAGAGGAGGGGGATTGATTCGTGGTATCTGGGGTTTTTTTTATTAGTATTGGGAGTGGGGGAGGATGGTAGTTCTTTCTGTGGGGTGAGGAGAGATAGAAGTAGAAGTAGAAGTAGGTTGTGGGTTGTGGGTTGTGGATGTACATTGTACATCGTATAGAGGTGGAGGGTAAGGAAAGGAAAGGATAAATCATTCAACCGTACATCTGCCGACAAGTCAACGCCAGACCCAGTAGCTTAACCTTATTCCAGCGGAGGAGATCGGCTTGTTTGGCCGGCTGGGAGATGCCCGTGCCATGGCAGATCTCGCAGAATAAATTGCTTTTCTGGCGTGTGTGGCGTGTTGGTGATGGCGAAGACTTTGTTGTAGGCTCGAGCGCACATGGACACACCACGTGTCCGAGTCGCTGCTTGCTGCATTGGATTATGTGGATTCGTTGGTCTGCCAGGACGAATTCCCAGATCATTAACCGAAGCTCCGGTGATAACCGGGTGAGGAGTCGACTTTGGAGTTGGGGTGAGGGGATCGCTATTGTTTGGCGGCGGGGAAGTGGAGAGGGTTTGTTGCCTATTGTTTTTTTTAGGTCTGTTAGAGATGTATATCCAACAAGTATTCAACAAGTAAAATGAAGTAAAAGTAAATAAGAATAGACAGTTATTTACTTACTCTGATACCGCTGAAGCAGCACATCCTCCCATGAAAAGACTCCCTGTTTCATACGGGCCATTGTTGATGACTCTGTTCGTCCCCGCCAAAATCAAAAATGAAGAGACATTGGCAGTGACATTGACAGCGAGATAGGTTCATTAATAGTGCCACAAGACCTGCAACCTGCAGCTGCTCACGCTATCGGGCACGACACGTTCCCGTCAATCCGAGCGGACAGCGCCAAGTGGTCCGGTTAAGGACTTAGGTCAAAGAGTCGGTGAGGGTAAAGATAAAGGGGGTATAGGATTGAGGTATTTATGTGGCTACATAGTCTAGTCTCTGATATAACTATCTATCTGAGACCAAAAGAAAAGATAAGGAAATCCGGAAGATAATTACTCGGGCTATCTGTAGATCCTTTTTACTTTAAGTGTCTTGTTCTATACTCCGTAGTTTTGCCCCATCTTCTTTAAATTCGATTTCATGATTTCATTCAACAGTAGCAACTGGCTTATAAACATTCATGGATATAATTTCTGATTCAAGTTCTAACCCGTATTGCTTAGGTACCCCTATGTAGTGGATTTCCTCTATTGGGCGAGGCTTTCCCATCTAAGCTACCGTTTAATAAGACCGTTCAGCCTCAGCCTCATAATACACTATGAAAACACGCGAGAAAGCCAAAAGCGCAAGATCTACTTCACGCAAGCTGCAGCAAGACGATCGGCGAGGGACAAGATGGGACTTGAGTGGTCTGCTTCGCTATAGCGAGGAAGGGACGCGCTCTCGTCGGAGCCCACGTCGGAAAGTTCCTCTTGGAGAATCCTTATATCAGACTTAGAATGGTCAGGCTTAGAAGGCGATAATTCCTGCGATGGAGCCACATTTGACCGTCGCGGTGTACCCTTTTTTGGAGTCGGGGTCGGAGACTTGAAATCCATTGCAGGAGGAGGTAACGCGACGGTCCTGGACTTGAAGCGACCATCCTTATCGTAAGGTGCCTTGTCGGCTTCGGCGAATTTAACCCATTTGTTGAAACTCCTTAGCAACTTGTCTTTGCTGACTTGCAGCCATTCCTTATGACTCTCATCGCATCGTTTGCACTTTTCTTTGAGCCTGTAATGCTCCAGGGAGAATTCGGCGATGATAAGTTGCTCAATGCGATAGGCATAGCGTATGTTCTGTTTCCTCAACACGCTGAACTCTTCATAGCACCGTTTGTGGCTGTCAAAACGCGTCTCGGGGTCTGTGGTGTATCCGACTTTGAACATTTTTGGTTCTCGAGGGTGACAGAGGAGATAGATGTATCCGCTTTTTTTGTCCCTGTTTGTGAGGGTCTCCAGCAATTGGCAAGTCACTTTTAGTTGCACGTCGTATTTGTTGATAGGTGATGTGCTGGTCTTATAGGGCTCGAACTCTGTTGCTGGCGGTGGAGTAGAAATAATCGACACTTCCTCCACGCCCCCGTAAATATGGGTTTGCAGCTTGTAACGTAGTTGGTGTCTCTTTTCATCGTTGTACAGCTCCTTTAACCATTGGCTCTTTGCGTCGTCGGAATTTTGACGGTGCCGACGCAGGCAAAGGCATCTGTCGATCAATTCCGCGAGGATCTCATCAAATACACCATCTTTGTCGTGGAACTTGCGGTCAGGCTCATCGAGGATGGCAAATAATTGCTCAAAATATTCTTTCACAGGCTTGAGGTTGGCTCCTGCGATTTTATTGCTGCAGGGCTCCGTGCCATCTTTGAGCTGGGCACATCCGAGCATAGATCCATATGCTATCTCCAGTAAACTTGAGAGATAAATGAACACGTTGGCCGGGGTCTCCATAGCAGACTGTATATTTCTAACGGTACACAATATGTGGGAGTGAATAGTAACGAGGAAGTACTCTGGAAGTTCAGTGTGAAACAAAACCACAGGGCCAATTTGGGGTGGGGGGTTTAACCCCGAGGTCAAGGGCCCTGAGAGTTCCTATGCCCCCCTTGTTTAGCCCATCTAATCGAGCTAGTTTACAATCCAGGCATATGCTCCATAATGCATCGGATAATAGACAAATTGGCGTAGGCGGCGTTGGGCTGATAGTTACCTTCCTATTTTTGCCATCACCGACAGGGGTTTATTCGGTCGTTCCTGAGATAGTCTCGGCCAGACGGAGATTATAGGAGGATATTGCGCGAGATTAGGGACTTATGGGCTTTGGAGGAGTGTGACGGAGAATCGCGTGCATTAGTGTTGACAGGGATACTCAGCCATCCCATCGAACCTCCGTTCCCCGAGGCCAAGATCAAGTAAACATGTAAGGCTGACCCAAGCCACACCCCGATGGCGCAGTACTCCGTACTCCATATGGAGTGACTCCCAAAGATATAAGGGGTTGGTGCCTACAAGGCTGACGGAAGCCAGGGGCTGTGTGTGTCAGGCACCGATATTAGAGGAGAACGATGTTAGGGGCCAAAAGTTCAAGCCACGCGCTCGGGGGGAAATGAGTGGGAATTCAAATAGAGTGCAAACACGCATCCGAAAGATTTGTCAATTCATGGAGGGAAGAAATTGCCCCTGTATCTAGCAGCAATTTCCGCATCTTCAAATAATATTCCGTACTTTTCCACGCCGGAGCTGGTATCCGGTACTCCGGACTAAAGTAGATGATGAGCAACGAGATAATAATAATTAAAGAGGAAGGACGGTATATTGCTTATGATAGCGTGTGGTATCTCATCGCTGTTCTATAGGTAGCTCTCACTCTTCTCATGTGAGCAAACCAGGGCATTCATCTGTACATAGGCCCCAGACCCAGACCTCAAGCAATGTGCAACCCAACCCAGAACCAGGGAGCAGTCACTGGTACTCGTACTATATCCCACCCAAGTCTATTGACCCAGAGTGTTAATCCGGGGCGTCACTCGCAACCCATCCGTCAACATAGTCAACCCAGCCGGCTGCAACTGGTCAATAGTTTCCTCCGCCGGCAGAGTGCCCACATAAGCATTGAAGTTGTAGATGCCGCAAACGCACGTGTCAAGAACATCCTTCAAGCTCGTCCCCGACAAAATCGTCCGGAAGCCGCGGGTGACCTTGAAACTCTGCTTGCCCACACCCATCGGCACCGCGTGTGACCAGACTCCTGGAGGTGCGATGTAGGTCTCAGTATTATCACCAGATTGCACCCGTACCAGCGCGGGCATCTTCAGCATCGTGACGACGAAAACCTCGTCATTCATTGTGTGTGCGCCGTCGGGCCGGCCGCGGAAGAAGTTGCCGGTGTCGTTATTGGCGCTGCCTTGCATTGTTGTGTCGGTTGCGTCGCAATCGGCGCTCTTCATGGTTGGCCGGTACCAGTAAACTAGTTTCTCTTCCTCTAAGAATCTGATGGGTAGTCTCGAGCCTGCTTTGTAGGCGGCGATGAAGGGCTTTGCCATATCGAGCCAGCCGTTGTGGGGCCTGTTTCCTTGTTAGTTGATGTTTCTGTTAATTTGCTAGGGTGAGTTGTCTCTACTTACATATCCATTGCCCACTTCGAGGCACCGTCATCTGTGTGTGGTGACGCCAGCGGGCCGATATAGTGTGACTCGCCATAGTCATTCCAGGTGATGATCTCCACAAAGCGAGGGCTGAGACGTAGGATTTCCCTCCACCGGTCATACCAGAGGAGGTCGGAAGGGAACACCCAGTTCTTGCTGTAAGAGACCTCAGGGCCGTAATGGGTCGAGAACCAAGGCGAGACGGCTATTTATCGATTAGCAAATATACACAGAAGAACCAATATACTCCAGCTACTCACGCGCAATGTATGCTTTTCCCTGAAGAGCATCAGTATAAACCTCATCGCTATCTGAAACGGTAACCTTCTGCTCAGCAGTCGGAGCCTTGTTATTTCCATCGTTGTCCCAACCCATCCAGTTAAAAGCGCCATCGATCTTATCGAAATCACTTTGACCGGGTCGGAAATTCGGCGCAAAGAAGATCTCGCTGCCAGCAGTGGATCTGATTGCATCGACATCGACGCCGTCGCCCGAAAATGATGAGACAAAGACCTTTCCATCGACCATGAGCTGCGCGGGGTGATTTGCATACTGCGCGATCTTAAGGCCGACTTCACTGCCTTGACTGGTTTGCCACCAGTTGAAGTCGAAGGAGAGGAACACTTTCATGCTGTTGTTGGCAGCGGATTCATAGGCATAGTTCAGTTGAGTGTCGCCGTAAGAGTCGGTGCCGATGTTTAGTGCAAAGGCGTCGATGCCCGCCTCTTTGGCACGTTTCATATCATCGTCATAATCGCAGGCGCCTTCGCGGTTGCTGACGATGCCCATCTAGATATTGTTAGTGTATGGTGCGGGGTAAGACAGTACAAGAAATAAGTCACTTGCCATAAAATGACAGAACACCAATTTGTTTCCGACGTTTTCATCGGTAGAGGTCATATTGGTATTGTAATCGACTGGAGTCGGGAAAGCGAAGGTGAAAGAAAATAGGCCAACCAGGGCCACGAAGAAGAAGAACATGACTTTTTAAGCGGTGAAGAATTCCAAGAACCAGCCAAGGAATATCTCTCCACTATGTGAAGCTGGATTATGAAGATAAAAGGAATGAATGATCCAGCTTAATGAGCGACTAGAAGTGAGAAATGAAAGGCATAAAGATAGGACAGAGGACTTGAGTTAAAGAAGGCTTAAATGCATTGGGGGCTTTGTTTTATTATACCACACTCTCTACAATCAGATCCACTCTTTATATGTAAGGTGGACAATACTCCGTACATCAATCAGACAATGAAGCCCTGAAGTGGGGTGCTGCCTTTCAAAGAAACCCAAAGAAACCCCGATTCCCCTGCCATAGTGCCCTATCATACGAGGGTCCTCAGCGCTTGGGTTCCGACTGGACCAGGAAGCCGAAAGAAGCCTTTCTGCGATATGGTTAGTTGAAACGAAATGAGCCCAGGGGTTAGAGGCTGACAGGGAGAGATATCTAATAATCCATAGGGCTGTGGGATTGGCTGAAGAACGCCTCCATCAGCCCAGCGGCTAATTTACGGAGGTGTTCCACGTTTGACAATTTATAAGGAACAGGAATATACTTTGATTAGGGAAAAAGGGGTATTCCAACCAATCTCATCTTAAAACATGAAACATCTTATACATCCAAGAGATCGGGGTCCGCTCACAAAGGTGCACGGTTTATCCCTAACCTTGCATGTACAACATACAACCATCGACTGTGCGGCGTCTCGGCGTCAATATTTTTTTTTTTAAAACACACTCAAAACTTGAAGAGTCCATCTCGGACATTTACTATCAATCTAAGATCTTCTTCTTTGTTATTGGTGAGTAACAAAGAGGAAAAACTCCGAGTTCCCGGCTCTAAAGACCCCACTCTAGATCCTCGTCTCTCAACACGATCTCCTATCTCCACATGCCTGTATGGGAGTAGCGGTGTAACAATATTTTAAATGAAGCCTTGGGGCGGATATGTGCTATTTGAGATCCCTGGTATCGGCGTAGACCTATCATATGCCCCTGTCCGGACACCGGGAGACCAGGGACGGATATCGAGTGTCGGCCGATGGCAATTCGGGGAAGGTGGTCCCGAGGGGGTATAAACACGATTGATGGGTGTCCGCTGTAAGATAAGGTATCCTGCCATGCGTCTAGCCTGGTGATTTAAGTGAGTGCTACTCCGTACAGTCCATCACATTCACGGCTCCGGATAGACACGCGATCAGAAATCGTATATTAAACAAGTCAAATCTAGGTAATTTGCGGTTCAGATACCCTGTACTCCGTACTCATAACTCATTTGTTCCAGCCTGACTTTAGCGATCTCGCTAGAGCTAATGCCTATCGTCCAATCTAAAAGCAAGGAGAAAAGCTCTGCCATCAAGCCCATTTGATGGACTATCTTAAAGCACGGCAAAGGCAGACACATAGCTCACCGAGCTGTCAGAAACCTCCTCTACATCTGAGCTACGCTCATACCGCAGGAAGTAAAAGCGTCCTTCCTGGTCGGCTGCTTGATCTGCCGTGACGACTTCCAGGGCTGCCATGATCACCCCGATCGGATGACGCCCGCATACTGTGTTACCCGTGCGGTCAATAACGTCGAGGAAAGACTTTGCAGATCCTGTGGTGATGGCGGCCATGGTAGCAATGTCAAATGCTGAGATACTCTCATGAATTGCAGGTTCACGGCTGGAGATACGATCGCGTTGCCGCAACGAGTGACCAGCCGAGACCATCTCGACGGCCTGATGGACGCTGCTTGCATCCATTCCAGGCTGTGGAAGTATCTCACCAGACAATGGGAGTTGTGGCCCTGGTCTGGGGGCTTGAGGGACATAGTATGTGTAGCGGAATCGAAGACCCCAGTGGCAGAAATCCGAACTTATCACAAAGGCATTTTCTGGGTCTGCCAGGTAGGGGGCTAGGAGGGCCCCAAATGCTTGCTCTGTCGAGGCCGAGGTATTTCCGACCATGATTGGGACTAGAGGTGGGTATTTAGAGGCTGGAGAATCCGGATATTGGAGCTGGAGCAAGCGGTGGATGTAGGGCAGGTGCATCTCGATACTGTGCTCATCTTCATCAACCGAGCGCGACATGGTTGTGAAGCTCATTTTTGCCCCATTTGGTTTAGTTGCCTGGGTTGCGAGAAGCTGGGTAATCAGCTCGGTGTCTAGTGGGAGGGGTTCATCGGATAGAGGGGTACGGTAGGAAGTTAGCGTTGGAAGAGCCAGCGTTGAGAGCGAGACATGGTGCGATGGTCCCAGAATAAAGATTCGCTTTCTATGTGTGAGGTGAGAGGAGTTTCATAAGAGAAGCGGGAGATAAGCTCACGCTTTGGAGAGATCCAACGCCTTGTATGCGTAGGCTGCGCAAGGCCCCGAGTATGAATAACCCGCATGTCTAGTTGATTAGTATGCTCGGCTCTGGATAATATAATATGTACGAGAATGGTCTCAGACATACGGTGCGATGATCACTCTGGCTCCGGGAGTTGGCAGCGAGCCGACCTTCTCCATCGTGTCCGGCACCTGCGCCAGCCAGCCATCCAGCTGACGGGCCAGGGTGCGGGCACTATCTGAGTACCATGACCCAGAGTGAGAGGCCTGTCGAGATGGCATGGTAGGGTTTGAGTTAGTAGTCTAACGTCAAGGTCGAATGTGAGAAATTGTTTCAGGTGCCCAGCTACAAGCTGAAGCTCTCCAATTGAGGAGAAGTGGGGGAGCGGGGGATCCCGAGCGCTCTAGCCGGCGGATTGAAAGATATTGGAAGATATTGGAATGAATTGGATTTTATCTACTTGAGAGATACTACGAAAGATCTGAAATAAATGTATATCTCCTATAGGGGTTTCTGGTCAACATCGTACTGTGGATTTCTATATCACAGGGTATACATAGAAAAGTCGCTTACACAAACTATGCCTTTTTACCACCTTCACATACATCTAAAAAAACCAGCCAAAAATACATTCAAAGACTAGCTAGAAAGGCCTACTAAAAAGATATCACAATGCCGCAAACGCGGCCGACGATTCTTGTCTGGATGTCATTTGATACCTTAGGTGTACCTGTGCATAATGTACACAAGATATAGCATTGGCAAAGAAAGTAAACGGATCAAATAGTTGCATAGAAATAAATGGTTGTTTGTCACGTCAAACAAAAATCTTATTAATATTTCGTTGTACATCCCTGTATATCATGTTTGAAGAGGTGTAGTCCTGGATACAGAAAGAATGGTCGTAATTAGGGGCAGTTGCCTGATTGAAGCAACGACATTAATATCTATAGGTCAAGTATATCCATTGAAAGTAGAAATAGTCTGCTTCTCCTAGAAATCCAAAGACACAGAGTCTATGATGTGGAACGTTGTTATGAGCATGCAAATTTGTACCTATATTACCCGTTTTGGCTTAGCCTCACGGAATGCGACGCGGAAATGGCGCGCCCAGCCAATTGTGTTCGCATCGTCCAGTTCTTATCTCAATTCATCACACCTCTTCCCTTGCCATTACCACCTAAGAATTTTTCTTATACGCGATTACCGCTACCCCCTACCTATACACCTTACTATATACACCAATACATCAAACTCTCAAAATGTCACTCAAGCGGAAAGCTTCGTTCACAGCTCTCCCGACCAGTCCGTCAGTTCCGGCCCCCAGTGAATGGGGTATGGTGATCGATGGGAACACACACCTCCACAGTCGGACACGAAAGCGCTTCAGAGACGATCGTCCCAGTGACCAAGTGATTTACCGTAAGTGCCTCGCCTCGCCCTCGTGGCACTCCCTTGATCATGTCAATGTCCAACCTTGCTGACAGCTGGCAGAAAACACACTACGATGGATCTTCTCCGCCCAAAAGCAGCAAGAGTCTACCCAGGCCATCGATATGGATACCATGGACTCAGAGCCAACTCTTGAAACAACAGAAACCGTTGACCCCCGACAACAAACATTACACCGATTTTTCCAACAAAAACCCCAGCAATCATCGTCTTTCCGACCATCCCGTCAAGCACTTGCACCTCGAGCCAATGAGACTGCGCTGGCCCAGGAAGATCTCCTGCGTCGCCAGGCGTTTAATCAGATGAGCTCCGGGGACAGCTCGAGCGAGAGCAACAGTCCCGGATCCAATCAGATGGGTGCTGACGTGGACATGGATATGGACATGAATTGCAGAGGTGGTAACGATGTGTTGGATCAGGCACCCAAGGCCTGGGTAGGAGGCGTGGCCTGGATGTAATTTGGCTGCACGGTATCTTTTTCATCGTGCGCTGGTGTTTATGCCAGGAGAGATTATCATTTCCTTTCCATCTATTTCGTGATACCTATTGGGTTATTTGGGCAAGGCGTTACTGGCTAATTATATTGTTGCCTTGCTTTTCTTCCTTTCTCGAAAGGAACCGAGAGATTTTTCGGTTTTTGACGATTATGGAAGCCTGGGAATACTCAAAAGAGTAAGGGCTTTGACCTGGAATTAACATATATAGTGAGATATCTGGCTTAATTCAATGTTTCAGGGACTTCTGACTTCATTTGTAGCCTTGGGTAAGGGTGTATCATTATTTGATACAGCCCTATGTGCTGTGCTATATTGGAGGTATCGTGATCGCTTGCCTAGAATAGTAACCAGTTCGATATAACCACTTTTGTATACATAAATATACGCTTAGAGTCAGGCTAGTAGCTGATAATGTATTTTAAGCATATTGACTCTTCATTATTTAGACACTCTATAGCTCTTTGTAAGTTGTAACTTTTAATGTGAGGGCTGTTATGCCGTCATTAGCCTATATGGCCTCAGGCACCAAGAAAGTTGTTTGTCCACCCGACGTTCATCCCTCCTTCAATTGAACCACAAGCCCAGGGGAATCCCAAACCGCAAGATAAATTACTTAACTTTGCCAACCCCCCGAATAATCCGACTCTGTCCTTCCTGCGTCAGAATCCTTTTCAGCTCGGTTACCCTCAGACTTCAACTCCCCCGCACATTGGAGGCCTTTCGACTGCTGACACGAACAACGCACCAACCACAATGGATCACGATCAGTCTGTTCAATACTTGGAAGGCCTGTTGGGTCGCACACTGCGGATCCATACCACAGATACTCGGATGTTCGTCGGGCTATTCAAGTGTACCGATGCGGTAAGCATTCACCTATGAACTTCTTGCTATAGAATAGAATACAGTCAGTGATACTAATCGACAATTCCTCGATAGGACCGGAACGTCATCCTCGCCAACTCTTTTGAATATCGTATGCCCACCACATCTGCCGTACAAGCCGCCGCAGAGGAGAAGCAGTGGGGAGAAGGGTCGGAAGCAAAGAGCACAACTGTCAAAGTGAACATGACACACCGGTTGATAGGCCTCATTGTGATTCCAGGACGACACATTACGAAAATCGAGCTGGAGTAAGCCTTAAACTGGTTCCAACTCGGGCTCGTGTCCACGAGACCTTCATTTTCCTACCTGGGGACCGTTCTTTATCCTATTCTCGAATGATATACCTGGCTCTATTGCCCCACAACACCAAGCAGCATGCCAACCACCTATTGCGCCCACCCACGCGATATGCCGCAGGAGGCGCCCGGTTTCTGCCCTGCGCCCACATTTACCCTAGTCCCTGCTTTTCCGCCACGAGAGTTGGGCGTGGGGCTGCCAAGATGAGGCTTGCTTGCAGAGGCGCTCGCTGCTCATCAACGTGGCACCGGGATCACAGCAGCTGCATCGCAGTGTCGCAGCATCCAAGGTGGCTTGGCCGGCAGGTCTGCAGTCAAGTTATCGGACAGGAAGATTGTTTGTGGCAGGCGTTTTCGTCTTACAAGGGGTGAATGGAGGGGCAAAAAGGCGGTGTCTCCGCCACAGAGATCCCTTAGCGTGCAGCGTAGTTGCTTTCGTGCAGAACCAAGACTATCTGTGGCTCGTGTCCGCTTCTGCGATCTGATCATGGGGCAGGGTATATCTTGTTGTTTCCGAACGGACAGTACTATTCTCTAGCCGCCTTCCACTGTCGGAAGTATATGCAGGAGGCTTACGCTCTACCACGCAGTAACATATAAATTTGTGATGTATCATTTTGCTTCTGAACGTGGTCTCGAATCCTTGAGTTAGTGGGTGCTGCGCTTTTTATCTCTATCACTTCTGATAGGAGACGTGATCCAGGTGGCGGGGTCCAAGCTCCGGATAGACTCTCTTGCGAATGCTCGGGTAGGTTCGGGAAAAGTTTCTTAGTGTCTGACTGGCTCGACAAATTCCTTTGGGATGGTCTCTTCAGGTGGCCCAAATTTAAATTTAAATGTAAATGTAAATGCATGTACATTGTAGGGACAAAAGCGTCGCTTATCGAGCGCTAACAGTTGGGGGGGGGGGTTAAGAAAGATATCGTAAAAGACAGGTGGAAAAAGACCAAAGGATTTACCTATGTAAAATGGAAAGGAAATTGTTCAGATATTAGGGATAATGTCAGGCTCCACATGATTAAAGAGAGAAAAGAAAGATATTACCAAAAATTTGTGCGGTGTGAGGCTGTAAAGATTAGGCGGGATATATACACCCTTACAAGGGACATCGAATTTATGTGTACTAGTTTGGTTGGTTTAAGAAGAAAAAAGAAATCAGCTCATAATACTCATGAATCTTCAATATATAAGAGTCTAGACTCTCTCTTTATCTTCTCCTCTATCAGGCAACTGTCTTAGCCTCTCTCAAGGTTCTTTGTATAGCTCGGACCGTGAGATAATCCGGCTGACCTAATCCACCCAGCCCGATCGAGACCGGGCCCAAGAAACGGAAACCACAAAAGCAGCGACTTTGTACCCGTCAAGTACCATTTTGCTGTACTGGCGGTGGCGGAGTACTTTTGCCTACCTTGACCTTTTTGGCCTTGACTCTCTTGATTCTCTTGACCTTCCAACTTTCCTCTTCCCCTCTCTTTTCTTATTTTCATCGCAGGGAGCTTCCACCCTCTTCTCTGCTATATCTACCATTTTTTATTATTGAGGTAAATTGTACCCCCCGGGGCGTCTGCCTGCGACCTATTATGTGGAATACCCGTTCAAACCCCGTACGGAGTACATAATGACGCATTCCTTTACCCGCAAACCCACCATTCCCAGTCCTTCGACATTCAAGGACCTCCCTTGCTTCTTTTCTCTCGCTTCCTTTTCTCACCAATACCTCCACATGCCACCTGGGTTTCTGTGGAGTCAGCCCTGCAATCCCGCACCTGCATTGTCTCGTGCAAGTGGCTAACTTTCTGTAGAGCTTGCTCAGCCTCTCACGGAGCTTCCGCCTGTTATCTTTAGCTTCTTACCATTCGAAAACACCTCCACCTGCATCAATCACAAAACGTCTGGTCTGCCACCTAGATCCTCACTTTGACCTCCCCACCTCGCCCTTCCTCGTAACTGTGCTCAACGTCTCGCACTTGTCTCCGCCCGTGTGTTCCTCAGGGTCCCGACCAGGTGGATTAGTGGTAATCAGTCATCGCACAAACCACTACGCATTCTTTGCACAGCCTCTCCAAGCTTTTCGTAATATTACAGAAGCTCGGGCCAAGACATTCCAGCAACACAACAGGGGTTTCTCGGCATAATAGTTCGAACTCCCATCGTTCGTGCGATCTTCTCAACTCAAGCTTGGCAGTTACCCGAGCCTTGTAGTGATGGGTCAGTCGCATTCCAAGGGCAACGCCTCGGGCGACCCTTTGCAGTCCTATCCTTCGTTTTCCAAGTCCGACACCAAAGAGTCTCTCCGCTCCTTCCGCGGCTCGATCCGATCGAAAATCCCTGGTGCTCGCAGCTCCGATAGCCCTCGGGGCTCCACCACTGCTCTCTCCCGGACTGAGAGCCAAACCGATAAATCCGATGCTGGATCCCTCAAGTCTGTTGGAAGCCGCCCTGGCTCCAATGCCGGCCTCCCGCAGTCGCCTGGTTCCGAGAGCGCTTCGCGACCCGGCTCCCCCCAACCCCCGCCGTCCCCCTCGCTTTCCACCAGCCTCCAACGAGGCCACAAGGATGTGAACGCGATGAAGCAGAGCGGCGAAGTTGACCATGTGTCAGATGGTCCTCCCTCTGGTGGTCCCCCAACTGGGGCTGCCGCGGTCGCTGGTGAATCAATTCTGATGAAGCGAGAGAACCAACTGAATCCCATTTTGGATTTCATCCTGAACGCTCCCCTGGAGACTTCGGGATCTCCCGGTATGGGTATGGGTGCTTTGAAATCTATTGATTTGGACGACATGATTTCGCGACTCCTAGACGCTGGTTACTCTAGCAAGGTCACCAAAACAGTCTGCTTGAAGAACGCGGAGATTACCGCCATCTGCACCGCCGCTCGTGAGCTTTTCCTGTCGCAACCTGCTCTCCTGGAGCTTTCGGCTCCCGTGAAGATTGTCGGCGACGTTCACGGCCAATATACTGACCTCATTCGACTCTTCGAGATGTGTGGATTCCCTCCCGCTTCTAACTACCTTTTCCTGGGTGACTACGTCGACCGAGGCAAGCAGAGTCTGGAGACGATTCTTCTGCTGATGTGCTATAAGCTCAAGTACCCCGAAAATTTCTTCCTGCTTCGAGGTAACCACGAGTGTGCCAACGTTACCCGTGTTTATGGGTTCTATGATGAGTGCAAGCGTCGTTGTAACATCAAGGTCTGGAAGACCTTCATCGATACCTTCAATTGTCTCCCGATTGCTGCCATTGTGGCCGGTAAAATCTTCTGTGTCCACGGTGGTCTCTCTCCTAGTCTTTCGCACATGGACGACATTCGTGGCATTGCTCGCCCCACGGACGTGCCGGACTATGGTCTGTTGAACGACCTCCTGTGGAGTGACCCGGCAGACATGGAGGAAGATTGGGAACCTAACGAGCGTGGTGTCAGCTACTGCTTCGGAAAGAAGGTGATCATGGACTTTTTGCAGCGTCATGACTTCGACCTGGTTTGCCGTGCTCACATGGTGGTTGAGGATGGATATGAGTTCTACCAGGATCGTATTTTGGTGACCGTGTTTTCTGCACCCAATGTAAGTTGCCCTTCGTTGTGTGTTTCACTACGACTCATACTGACCTGAACTTTCACAGTATTGCGGCGAGTTCGATAACTGGGGCGCTATCATGTCAGTCTCTGGCGAACTTCTTTGCAGTTTCGAACTTCTTAAACCCTTGGACTCGACCGCCCTGAAGAACCACATTAAGAAGGGCCGAAACAAGCGTAACAGCATGCTGAACAGCCCTGTAAGGAACCCCACTTTGGATTTCCCCCCATGTGATCGTTGCTGCATCGTGCAACAGTGCCGATCTTCTCCTTCTGCATCCCGTATCTTCTTGAACGAATCGCTAACCAATTCCAGCCTGCGGCGGTATCGGCGCAAAGTTATTAGACCCCACCGATCGATCTACATTTAAAATTGATATCATCTCTTGCGATCCGTCATTGCTGTCATAGTCTCGATTACTATAACAGTCATTGACCGACAATGAACACGACTTTCACCCACCTAGCAGCGCGGTAGCCTATCCCTTGTTTGATAATGGCTGATCACTGAAAACGCTCTGCCACCACGGCTCGCACCAACTTCCGGACCCAATCCCCCCGGTATGGATGCCCAAAATGAGGCTTGGCGCAGAACTGAACCGGATTCCTCTGACCGGTCCGCGCATCGGAGCCCTCCAGGCACCGTAGCATGCGTAGACCTGCAGATCCCAAATTTGCAGACTCAATAGAAAGATATGCTTAAGCCAAGGCACGTGGAATCTCTATGGGCCACTTTATTGTCGCCTATCTCGGTTCCAGCTCACAACGCAGACGCGTCCAGACCCACAGCATTTTTCTTCGGCCCTAAAAATCACAGCTATGTATCTCTACATGGCTTGGGTTATCAGGCCTCTCGTTTCTGGTGTGGCATTCTCTTGCATGCATGTACTTACAATATCTCTACTCTTTTATCCCAAACAAATGGTATTTCTTGGGCATCATTCAGCTTTCTCCCTTTCTTCCATATATCTAGGACTATGGACCGTCCTAGCATATTTGAAAGATGAGTAGGAAATTGACTAGTAGTTTCTTAGTGTCATTTTTCAGATATCCTTCCAATATTCCCAATTGATCGTCTTGCGGAGTTGCGTATTTGGCTAGACTCTTCCGTGGGTAAACCGAACCCACACCGCTACATACTAAATGCCCTCGCAACTTGACCAGAAGCCAGTCAAACAGACCGAAATGGTTTGTTAATTCCCAGAAAGAACTCTGTACAACCAACGTTGACCAGTTGCATGTCTAGGTCTCGCTCGGGACCACCTCCCGACAAGCCTCGGCAGCTCACCCGTATCTTGTCAAACACTTTTATGCACATGCAGTACATGGGTATCAACTCCTATTCGAAAATTGCCCAGGTAGGCTTGGTTCACACCTGTGTAGATAAAAAAAGCATTACTAAGGATATCTAGCAACTCACGTAAGTGTATTGACACGCTTAACGTCCAATGAATACGGTAGAGTTCCAGTACTTGCTTTTTCAAAAAAGAAAAACAATCTCATCATAGACCAGTGACGAAGGTCAAGCAAACAAACCCAGACGGATGACCATTCTCGGAATCAAGAATAGCTTTCGAGTATGTGATCACAGTTTCTTCTTCTGGATACCCCACAAAGCGATGGCAGATCTGAGGCGAGATGAGGTATGCGAGGGAGAATCCGCTGAAGTATACTCACTGCGCGCCCAGGACCATGAATCGAATTGTTGGGCTCGGCTCGACGAGCTTGAAGAAGGTAGGAGGTGCATTCGTTCGTTATAGGCTTCTTCAATGAGGGTTTCTATCCTTTATTTTGTGAGGTGTTATATACCATTTCCATGTACGTACACTTGTGGAAAGAGGGATAGTTATGGCTGGTATCACTCACCATCCGTTGTCTCTCCTCATTCGCCGGGTGCTTTTCAGATTTCGCAGCAACCCTGCTATCATCCCTGAAACGCCGGCTACGCTTTTGAGGGAGATAAATCTTGTCATCCGTTTTCCATCGGTCATTAAGTAGGACTTGGAGAGGTTGTTTGTGCTTGTTGGTCGGATGTGGTACCCGGGGACAAGATCAATACACTCCAGCGCAAGAGGCGAACTGTGCTGAGAGCTGTTCTATTTTGCCAGGAGTGTGCTTTGCGGTGGTCGGTTTGGACGGAGAGGATCTGTTATTTGGTGTATCTAGTATTAAGGTGATATATGTCAAATATAAACCTGTATGTTCTAAGGGATAATTAAGAAAAGGTTTCAGCCAATGGAGCACCTTAATCGAATATATACTGGATGGGTCTATGATGAATTTTGGCCAATTTGTGTGCTTGTGTGATCTTGCTTGGTTGACATCAAGGTAGGCAGGCGGATATATCTCTTTGACTGGGTATATAATACAGTGCCTGTCATGAGCATTGAGTTGCGCTCAGGACGAGTGGGCACAAGGGAAAGACGAGCAATTCTTGCTTGGAGCTTCATAACCAACAAAAGGAAAGGTAGAAGAACAAGATATATATACAAGCAAGCTGCAATGTTTTGGTTCTGGAACTGAGTAGTCAAAATCCAATAGAAATGTCTGTCTTTTATGTTATGGATGTTCTGTTTCCTCCAATGCAAAACGCAGATTATGACTCAATTATTCCTTAGAATCTTGTGTTCTACAATATATAATGTATGCTGGATATCAGCTTCACCAACCCCTCGAGGTTAAATTAAGGATAGCTACTTCAAGGAAAAGATCGCGCTTTGTTGAACCCTAATCTCCCGATTTCATCCGTTATAGAGAAGACCTCTGGCGAAGAAGTTCTAGATGGCCTCAAAATGATTCATTTGAAGTTACATGCCCACAGGAGTCGCTTCTACAGCAAAGATATCATAAGTACAAAAAGGAGTTGTGGACTAGTGGTCCCAAAGTGCTGTCTTGTGCACCGTGCGTAGGCTGCAATCTGAATTGAAAGCCAGAGGATAGTGAAGTAAGGAATAATAATTACACATTTATATATGTTGGAAATGAAGATTATTTCTGATAAGTGCAATAATTGGACACTGCCTACTTGGTGATAGTTGACTAGGGGTGATGGGAGTGGACATCTTCTTCCTTTGTCTTTTGCCATATAACACTCAAATTAGAAGAAATAGGCTGTATAATATGATTAATTCATAGGTACAAGGTCAATTGGTGATACATGTACTCTATACATTATGAATTATTCGGTCTTAAATTCTTAGCATGTCCCCTTTCGGGTGATTTCACTAGAGATAATTTTTCATCCTGAACGCTTTTACTTATTCAACGGACGGAGAAAATCGCTATTTCTAGTGTAATTATCAATGTAGTTATTATGATGTAATTTGACTGGAAATGAGGTTTAAGAAATGCCCGAAGACCGCCAGTCACGACCACTAGTCACCTGAATTGCTGTGGTTTGTTAAAGCGAGAAAATATTGCAATTTAGTGATACTCTAGGCTCTGTTATACATTCTTTCATCTTTTATCTCTTGTGTGGAAGCGATAGTCTATCTTTCCGGAATATATAGCGTATTCTCCCAGTTGTACATAAATGTTTCTGTCACGCCTGAAGGATATCAATAACCCACGCAGCAACATGATATTATCTATTGACAATGACAACGCACAATTCAGTCTATCTTTGTCACACTTGATAAAAACCAAATCGGCGCTGTCGGTAGCCATACCGTTGATAAGATGGACAAACAACCCCGCCACCGGCGAGTCTCCCGTGCAGACATTCCACGAACGAATTATCTGGATCACCAATAGGATCAGTCCCTTGAATAGGCTCTCCGGGTTGTATTACTGTTTGTGGAGAGGCTGACCAGCACGAACGATAATCACCCCGCATGGTGGGCTGTATCAGTTATCAAAGGCACCGGGCGCCTGCCCGAGATGCTATCTGGCTCTATACGAGGGGAACAACGTTGAAGGATAAAGAAGCTGGTCCCTTCGCCTAATCCGACATGAGTAGAAGGATCAAGTCATAATATTATTCCAAAGAAATGGCTACCATACTTCCCGGAAAGCCTCTAACGGCTCTTGCACGATGCACTCGGCCAACGAGCAATGTGAATACCTCGATGACGCTGCGCTTTAACTCAACATTGCAAGCACACGCACAAGCACACGCACAAGTCAAGACTGCTCCGAGCTCCACACTACCACCCCTCTCTGCTTTACCGACACGTGTCTTGCTCAGGTCTTTGCTGGTCTCCACGATATCGTCCAAGAGATTCCTTCTCATCCCCGCGCTTTCGTTGATGTCCTTCCTCTCTAAGCCTAACAGAATCTGGCTATTCGACGTGGATCGGAATCCGCTCTTGCATGGAGTATTAAAGAAAACATTCTACAACCAATTCTGCGCTGGAGAGAATGGAGCAGAATGCAGAACCACTATCAAGGAAATGAAAGACATGGGCTTCCGCGGTATGATCTTGACATATGCCGCCGAGACTGTGTTCGATCATAGTACCCAGGCACAGCATGGACAGGGTGTTGCTTCTTTGAAAAGCGAGCATGGGGCTGCTTCCATCGATCCTAGCATCGAAGCTTGGCGGGAAGGGACGGTTGAGACCATCTACATGACAGAGGCAGAAGATTACCTCGCAGTCAAGTAAGTTACTCGGCGCACACCCTTTCATAGAATGACGACTGATCATTTAAAAGATTGACAGGCGCTGGCGTCAAAGTCACCAAGGCTTTCGCCGCTGGAGAGCTGCCCCCGCAGCAAATGATGGATGCACTGCATGAGGTCTGCACCAAGGCCAAAGATCGAAAGGTTCGCATCCTCGTCGATGCCGAGTCTCAGCATTTCCAAAAAGGCATTGCACGAGTTGCTGTCGAACTCATGCGCACATACAATCGTGACGGTTATTCCACCATCTACAATACCTACCAGGCCTACCTCAAAAGCACACCGGCGACACTAGCCAACCATCTCGCTGTGGCAAAGGAAGATGGATTCACTCTCGGTCTCAAGCTCGTGAGGGGCGCCTACATGGCCACGGATGAACGGTCCCTGATCCACGACACGAAGGAAGACACCGATAACGCATATAATATGATTGCCCAGGGGGCGCTGAGGAAGAATATTGGAGAATTTGGAGATAAGGGCACCCGTGAATTCCCCTCGGTGAATCTCTTCCTGGCAAGTCATAACAAGGAGAGCGTGGTGGCTGCCCACGAGCTTCACAAGTACCGCGTCATGTCTGGCCTGCCTACCGTGCCTGTGCGCTTCGCCCAGCTCCATGGTATGTCCGATGAAGTTAGCTTTTCGCTGCTTCAGATGAATGATGGCGATGGAACACCGGAAGTTTATAAATGCTCCACTTGGGGAGGTATGGGTGAATGCCTGGCTTATCTTCTTCGTCGGGCAATTGAGAATCGTGACGCTGTTCTGCGGACGGATAATGAGTATCGGGCTTTGAAGACGGAGGTTTTCCGCAGAGTGAAATCGGTATTCTCTCTTGCGCCATCTTCATAGTGTAGCCAATGAGATATGAACTTATGATCAATGTGTTACAATGATTCAAATCCTCAAATTCCTAATATATTAGGCCCCCAGGGATAGTTAGACCTGCATAGTATAGAGAGATTACATTATATCTCACAAGGCCACCGGCCGGCAGTAGAAGCCGCAAGGGGCCGATTGGTCTTCATCTTCAACAAGAAAACCTACCTAGGTATGACCCGAGGGGTCATCACTTCTAATTTTGGCAATTACAACCCATTTTCAGAAGGAACTCTCATGCATTATCTGGTTGTGCATACCTCGGGGAGTAATGACAGCATTGATGTTTGTCGGTTTAGGTGAAGATCTGCATCTTGTCGGTAATCTCGGGGACATATCGAAAGTCAATTTGAAACCGGGCCGGCATCGGGAATAGAAGTAGTGAGACAGTAGGAAATTTGATCTGGTGACCATTAATTTCTCTTATCATTGCAGGTAACATATCGCGATCTCACCGCAATGATGACGTGTTACGAGGGAGGGTGAGCTGGAAAAGAATTTTCAGCTTGTTTCACAGAGCCACAATCAAGGACATCAAAAATCGAAGCAATGCGAAGCTTGCGTCATATAGACCATAAAAAACAGCCAGGGGGGTGTGGGGAGGGAGAAGGGGGATGTAATATTCCACGAGTTGAAAAGAGTTATGCTGGACACCGCTATACTTGCCGCCTAAACTTCGCCCCAGCCTCCACACGAACATACCCCAGCTAAGAAGGGGAAGTGGAGTTGTGAGGTATTAATACAGAGTAAAAGATGGTCATGTGGCCAATTCAACAAGGATATCGACACGTGTAGCCAATAAACAGATTGGAAAGTAATCCCGGAGTAATTGCCGAGTATCCCGGGTATGTACCATCCATGAATATTGCGCACGGGCCCTGGAGGCTGTTACTAGCGCCGCAGCGTACCAGAGTTCCAGACTGCCGAAGCTCCACTCAAAATCGAATCTGAGGAGCTGGTTGGCTCATTCGGTGAACCTCCGAAGCTTGGTAAGCTTGTCTTTGTCCGGGGGATACCTAGCCCTAGCCCTAGGTACTCTGTACTCTCCTTCAATCTGGGGCCCCTCGCTTTAGGAGTAGTAAGTGGGGGTGTCACACCGGGGTAACTCTGGAGGGATTTTAACATGTTCTTCCCCTTGGAAGCGTGCGAGCTGAAGTTTTTTGAACTCCCACAAAAAACCATTCAACACCCGTAGTAGAAGCCTATAGAGTGAACGCTATGGCCCCCGCTAAACTCAGAGGCAAGCCATTGAGCCTTGTCATCGGTCTCATTGGCGCTGTCGGATTCATATTACAGGGTTACGATCAGGCAGTTGCCAATGGGCTGTTGACACTGGGTTCTTTCATCGCCGTCTTCCCTCAAATCGATACTGTGAATACCACCGGTAGTGAGAAATCTCACAACTCTACAATTCAAGGTATTTACTCCAATAACTCAGTTGCTAGAAGTTGACGAGAAATGTTGACCATTACAAGGCACAACGGTCGCTATCTATGAAGTCGGATGTGCAATAGGTGCAGGTTCTTGCGCCTTTTTGGGTGACAGACTTGGTCGTCGCAAGACCATCTTTCTTGCCGGTTGCATAGCCATAGTTGGTATAGCTATCCAAGCAAGTCCCTTCTCACTCGGTCAGCTTATCGCTGGCAGAGTCATTACTGGTAAAGCCCCAACCTATCATCGAACAAGTTACATTAAGCTAACCAGTAATTCGTTATTGAATAGGTCTCGGTGTCGGTGGCTTCACCGCTACAATCCCAATGTACGTCTCCGAGTCATCTGGAGCAGAAGCCCGAGGACGAATGGTGCTGCTGGAGGGATGGTTTGCAATCGGCGGTGTTGCTTTCGCAACATGGTTAGAATTCGGACTCTACTATGTCAGCGACAACTCTGTCAGTTGGCGTTTCCCTATTGCATTCCAGGGCCTCTTTGCCATCATTGTTGTGGGATGCATCATGCTCCTACCCGAGTCACCTCGCTGGCTTGCACGCGTCGGCCGCCTCGAGGAGGCAGCTGAAGTGCTGGCCCGCTTGGAAGATGTGTCTGTCAACTCCGAGCATGTCCTACAAGAGCTGGAAATTATCCGACAGTCACTTGTGATTGATGACAACACCGAATCGGCTGGTTCTTCTTCGCCATTTGCTCTCACAAAGAATCGTCACCTGCAACGTACAGTTATCGCTGTTGGTGTGAATATTCTGGCGCAGATGACCGGTGTCAACATCATCACTTTCTATTCTGATACTATCTTCGAGTCCGACCTGGGTTACTCAGGTACAATGTCACGAATCATCACCGGATGTCTGCAAATCTGGCAATTTTTGGCTGCAGGCGTGGCTGTTCTACTCATTGATCGTATCGGACGTCGTCCATTGCTCATTGCTGCCGCTGTCGGTATGACCGTTGCCCAGGCCTGTCTGGCTGGACTGTCAAGCGACCTTGGAAACAAATCCGCAGCTGGCGCATCACTCTTGTTCTACTTTGTAGCGCTTTTCTGCTTCCCCGTTGGACTTTTCATTGTCCCATTTATGTACGCCGCGGAGATCGCACCGCTGCGCACTCGTGCGAAGGTTACTGCCATGTCGGCTGCAGCAAACTGGCTCTTCAACTTCGTGTTGGCAGAGGTGAGCCCGGTCGGGTTCGCTACTATCAAATGGCGGTATTACATTGTTTATACATGCATTAGTGCATTTGCCTGTGTCTGCTTTTACTTGTTCTGCCCTGAGACAAAGGGCCGTACATTGGAGGAGATTGATGATATCTTTGTTCAGTCGAAGTCTGTCTTCGATACTGTTCGAATCGCACAGGAGATGCCTTACCAGACGGAGATTCTAGCGCACGTTACTGATACCGAGAAGGGTGGGCTGGAGGACACACAAGTGGAGAATGCTTGAAAATTATGTGAAGAAGCTTGAAATTATGTGATGTTTATCAGTCTTGTTAGATGGAAGCTTATGATATATGATAGATTTATGTCTTTACCTAGTTACGTCGACAGCCATTTTTACGCGTATGAATAAATAGTTAGACAAGAAATTGATTTATTTAACTCGAGACTTTGGCATGAAAAGCAGATCGCAACTCCATATTCGTCAAGCACCCAATTCCAAACGCAGGGATAATACGGACACAACGCAAAAAGGTCGACGAGGGAAGATATTGCTGCGAATACTTCACCCTTTCCAGGAAAGGCATAGTATATTGTCGTGTATACATATCCAACGCCAACAAATGCAGCGGAGTAGCAACCAGCTGAGTCAGGACGGGCACGGTCAACTGTGTGATGATCGGCTTTGCATGAGGATGATCCGCCAAGCCATCGGGGATGACACCCGACAACCACGGGGCCAACGTAAATGATCCAAAGATAGTGACACCGTCTCGCACGAGGAAGATAGCAGCTGCAGTTCGTGCCAATGACTTATTTTGGAGGGGTAAAGAGATTGGACTGTTTTTCAATGTCTTGGCATCGGGACCCTTGCCGGTACCGTATTCCTGCGCAAATCGGATGTCCTTCCATAGCGCTAGCGGCACGTTAGCCATCATAGTCGTGGCAAATGTGATCGTCCCCGCGGCTGTTATCTCAAGCTTGCGACTGATTGTGTCGGTCATATTTGCCACGGAATAGGTTGCCGCGTAGAGGGCCCAGACGATACCAAACGGTCGCTGGAAGACAAACAGACCCGGCTGGCGGAGCGCCCCGAGCGCATGCCGACGAAGTCCGCGGAGAATGGGTTGCTTGAAGGCGGCTTGCTCGACAAGCGCTCTAAAAGCCTGTTAGCGCGGAATAATCGCGCTTGGAAGCGTCGAGACGAACCTATCAATAATTGCTACCGCGGGTGTCACTAGGGACGCTGAGGCCGCGGCCGCGGCGAGATCGCCGGCCAGCTGTCCTAGTTCAGGGTTGCCCCAGCGAGCTTCAGTTGATTGCACTTCTTGTTGCATAATGATAATCTGAAGTACATAGTTCCGAGTCTCATGCTTATCTACTTTGAAAAGATGGATAGGAGTACACTACCTAATCTAGTCCTGATACGAGTACCGGATGGCCTCCCGATGGTGCAGATTTCGAGTGGTAGCTACGCGTTTAGTTTAATTTTGCCCGTCAGAGCTCAAGCTCGCCGCAATCATCATGTGGGGTAAACGGGGAAGCCTCCGATACCTCTAGGAGGGGTCGTTGATCGTTGACGTTTAAAGCAGTGTGTTCGTCGTCTCAAACTGATTTCTCAAGTTCACATTGCCATCAACTTGACTCAGACTTACTATTCATAATGTCTACTACACTCATGAGACTTCGCTCGGCACGGCCTACTGGCTCTCGCCTGCGCCCCGTTCCTGCAGGCCTTTCTATTCAGACTCGTGCTAAGACTACATTGCCATTCCGCCTCCCCGATGCCCGGAACGAACCAAACGTGAGTGTTACAGAAATATTCAAGCCAACTAGATGCTAATTATACTATAGCCTCTATACAAGAAAGGCTCCCCGGAGCGCGCCAAGCTCGAAGAAGCATTGGCTAAGCTCCGCTCTCAGCTGCCCGTGCGCAGTGAGCTCTTCTTTGATGGAAAATTACAGGCGAGCTCCAAGTCTTGGGATCAACCATTGCCCGCCGAACATGCCACTACCTTCACAAACTACCCCCTTGCCACCGATGAGCAGACCCGATCAGCCATTGACCTAGCCCTGGAGGCAAAGCAAAGCTGGCAAGATACCCCATTTGTTGACCGAGCTTCGATCTTCCTCAAGGCTGCTGAGCTGCTGTGCACCAAGTACCGATATGAAATTATTGCTGCTACCATGCTTGGACAAGGAAAGAACATCTGGCAGGGAGAGATTGATGCTGCGGCTGAATTGGCGGATTTCTTCCGCCTGAACTGCAACTGGGCGGCTGAAATTTTGGAGAAGCAGCCCACTCGTGGCAGTGATGGCATGTGGAGGTTAGTCTATATTGAAGTGCTGAGCTATTACGGAATCACTTGCTAACTACTCACAGTCGTATTGACTACCGTCCCCTCGAGGGCTTCGTTTACGCTGTCTCCCCATTTAACTTCACAGCCATCGGTGGAAACTTGATCTGCGGACCTGCACTGATGGGCAACGTCGTTCTGTGGAAGCCTTCAGCCTCTAACGTCTACGCCAGCTCTTTGCTCTACAAGATTCTTTTGGAAGCCGGTCTTCCTCCCAATGTGATCCAATTTGTGACCGGTGACCCCGAGGCCATTACCGAGACTGTTCTCTCACATCGCGACTTTGCCGGCTTGAACTTTATCGGCTCTTCCGATGTCTTCCGCTCTCTGTATGGCAAGATTGGCCAGGGTGTTGCCGCCAAAAAATACCGCGAGTTCCCTCGCTTCGTTGCCGAGACCAGCGGAAAGAACTTCCACCTCGTTCATCCCTCGGCCGATATCACCAGTGCAGTCAACCACACCATTCGCGGCTCATTCGAGTACCAGGGTCAGAAATGCTCCGCCACATCCCGTCTCTACCTGCCTGAGTCTCGTGCCGAGGAGTTCCTTACCAAGTTGAAGGCTGGAATTAAGGAGATCACCATTGGAAACCCCGACAAGGATCTGGAGGCTTTCATGGGCCCCGTCATCCACCGTGGATCATTCGAGAAGATCAAGTCCGTCATCGATGCTAGCAATAAGGACCCCTCGCTCAAACTGATTGCCGGTGGTACTTATGATGAATCTGTTGGATACTACGTGCACCCTACTGTGTACCAGGCCGAATCACCAGACCACCGTCTCTTCAACGAGGAGATCTTCGGTCCCGTGCTTGCCGTGCACGTCTACAAGGATGCTGACTGGGCTTCTACTTTGAAGTCTGTTGATCAGAATGGAGGTGGATTTGCCTTGACTGGTGCTGTCTTTGCCAAGGATCGCGTTGCTATCCGCCAGGCTGAAGATGCGCTCCGGTACTCTGCCGGTAACTTCTACATCAGTAAGTCTCACAGTGTCTATGTGTATTTTTGCTATATCTAACCGGTTTTCTTTCTACAGACTGCAAGACAACCGCTGCCCTTATCGGCCAGCAGTCTTTCGGTGGTGCTCGTGCTAGCGGAACCAATGACAAGGCTGGTAGCTCCGACCCCCTTCGCCGTTTTGTTAGCCCCCGATTGATTAAGGAGGAGTTCTTCGATCAGGAGGCTGGGTTCACTTACCCCAGCAACCACTAATGTTGGAACATAAAATGATTGTTTTATAGATTTTACGCTAGCATATATGTACTTTCGCAATTCAAGCATACTGTCATCTATTTCAATTGAGTGCACTTCAAAGATTATTAGCAACACGGGTAGTTGATCTCGTATGCGGCCTCTGTTCTTAACGACGTGAGATTCCAATAATCTCATGTATCTGGCTAAAGATGATATTATGGATGTTATGAGATAACACTCCAATGTCTTTTTAGGTGAATATCTCCTTTCTAGATATCTTTTCTTCTCGGTGTTATAGCTAAGATGATAATGAACAATGGTACGGTGTAGACATGCTACCCTTATAACTCTACAATAATATTTAGACCTTACTATACATATAACTAAGGATCCTACGTATATTTTGTTCTACTAATAAAATTACTCGTAAAATGCCACTATTCTCAAGGAGTCAATCATTCGACTACCCCTCACTGTATCATATGACATTTCAGCTATCATGTCCACTTATGACCTCTTACGTAGCTCCATTCCCTTATCAAGAATATCCAAGATATCAAAAATATCAAAAAAGCCGATTTGGGCACATCGGGAACCCTCCCGATGGTCGATGGTCCACTTCTCCGCAGCCCCCGCACTAGTCCTCGAAATCGGAATTGACGCCGTTAACTCATGGTGCTATAGTGAGCTGTGTAACTATAGATATAGAACTATTAGTCCATCTGGTAGAAGTCTCTCATCGCATCTCATCTAAGATGGGTATCTCCAAGTCTGACCCGATCATCATTGTCGGCGGCGGAGCCTTCGGGCTCTCCAGCGCTCTTCATCTGACTCGCTCGGGCTTTACGAACATTTCTGTCTTCGAGAGAGATGAACACATTCCTCCACGTTATTCGGCCGCAAATGACTTGAATAAGATTGTGCGCGCGGAATACGAGGATCCATTCTACACCGATTTGACAATTGTAAGTCAACCTCTTCAATGCAAGTATAGTAATTGAGTTCATTACTGACCGGTGTCTTTTTATTATTATTTAGAAAGCCATCGCCGCATGGAAGACACCTCTATTCGCACCCTATTTCCACCAGACTGGATTCCTCCACTGTGTGTCTGGCGAAGCACCCCAGAAAGCCGTCGATACCCTCAACAGATTCCGGGCTTCGGCAAATGCAAGCGATCAAATCAAGCCACATGTTATCCCCCTCAATGGTGTAGACGACATTAGGCAAGCCTGCTGGCAGCTCGATGGCCCATTACCCGGGTGGAATGGATACTTCAACCGCTTCGACGGGTATGCCCACTCCGGGAATGCTCTGGCAGGAGTATACCGCGCCGCGCAGGCAGCCGGCGTGCGCTTCTACCTCGGAGCACACGGTGCAGTCGACGAAATTGTCTACGTCAGCACACTGCACGGCAAGAAGAGCTCCGGGATCCGAACAAAGGATGGGAAATTCCATCCATCTTCGTTGGTGATCGTCGCAGCGGGCGGTGCGGTTGGCCGTCTTGTCCCGGAACTCGGGAAGAAGGTCGTGGCCAAGTCGTGGTCTGTGGCGCATGTTCTTCTTACCGATGAAGAGACTTCTGCGCTGCGTGGTATTCCTGTCACTTATGCTCGTGATCTGGGATTCCTCTTTGAGCCTGATCCCAAGACTAATCTGTTGAAGATTTGTCCTATGGGAGGAGGTTATATCAATACGGATCCTAAGACTGGGGTTTCTCATGCGCCGGGGACTTTGGAGGAAAGTGCGTTTGTGCCGGAGCATGATGAGAGGCAGATGAGGAAGTTGCTGGCGCAGACGCTTCCGGCGTTGGCGAATCGTCCGTTGGTCAAGAAGTCGCTGTGTTGGTTTGCCGATACTGATGACTCGGATTTCATTATTGATTTTGTTCCTGAGACGTCGTCGTCGGTTGTCTTGTTGTCTGGTGATTCTGGGCATGGGTTCAAGATGTTCCCTATCTTTGGATCGTGGGTTTCGGATTTCCTCCAGGCTGGTCAACAGAGTGAGGCACGGTGGAAATGGAAGCACACAGACCCCAATGAGGGGAAGGGAAATTGGGGCGGTGATGTGAGCTGGCGTCTTGGAGAGTCGAAGGAGCTCTCTGAGATTCGGCCTGCGGTATTGTCTAAGCTTTAGATTATTTGAATATTAGAAGAGTACATGTGTTCATTTTGGCATTTTCAGATTCACAACAAACGTATAATTAACCATTCAAGTCATATACTAGTTTATATCTACTTTAGAACGGACACGGATATCGGTGGAAACAATTTTGCAATTCGTCAATTCATCACACATTCAATTTACCATATACTATGTTCAATCATTGCATTTGACACCCACTCAGTATCATAACTCTCAATCGAGTCGGCAACAGCCATAATCTCAGCCGAAGTCAGCATCGCACTAAAATCACACTCCACATCAAAATCAGGATCCGGCCTCAGAAGCGCATCATCATATCGAACAGACTGAGGTATAGCACCAGGGGCCGGTGTTTCAGAAGGAGAAGTTGAGTCAGGAAGAACATCAGTCTGCGGGAAGAAATCAGACACTGGTAAGCGTCGAGGTCGATCACCAGAAATACATCCTATTAATGTTTCATGTAGCTGCTGGAGCTCGGATCGCCGGAATTTAGCAACTTGGTTTCCGTCTCTGATCATTTCGTCGAAGACGGCATAGGCTTTTTCCAGCCAGTTGGGGTGGCTTTCTAGCACACGTGGGTCGATGACTGGGCCCATCAGGAGGATGATTGTGGATACGAAGACTGATTCTAGATCAAAGGGGAGGAAGGTTTCTAGATTTTGAATGTTAGTTGAGGCGGCCTATTTGAAATGAAAGTTTGTTTTACCTAAGAGGCCTTGACTCTGTAAACTGGAGAGAATGCTGATGATGTGCTGGGCGGATTCAAGACACATTTGCATCAGGCTTCGGACGTTTCGGGAGGCATTGAGGGATTCCACGCAGCTTTCTGGGGATTCGAAGCGGATTTTGAGAAAGCAGAATAGGAGAGGTCGGGTAGCCAGGATGATACACTGAATATCGTGTAAGTGGTCAGCGGGTGCCTCTCTTTTCACAACGAATAAGACACGTACCTGGTGATATTGAAGATGTAAATAGGCTGATATTCGAGAAACTCCGCTGCCTGGATCCAAATGTAGCGGGAATGACTCGCGAAGCTCATCGGCAAGCCCTGCGATGTTGGCCAATGCTGATTTGGTGCTAACCAGAAATGTCCGGTTGATGCGCCCATTGGCAACGTATATTGCTGTTTATTTTGTTAGAGGTGACCACCAACGGGGACTCAGGGAATCTTACTGCTGTTCACTTCGGCAATGATCTGAGACAACTTGATGTGCATACCTAATGACATCGTTTCCGATGGATCTGCAAAGGTGGGGAGCTGCGTTTTCACATATCGATCATTGATCGACTGAGGCAGACCCATCAACGATGTCATTTCTCGGTCCAGAATATAAATCGTCCACCAGATTTTGCCGCATCTTTGGACCATGTCATGTCCTAAATCTTCAGCTGGCATACTAGTGTGCATTCCTTGTGCCATGGCTATGCGCATGGCTTGGCCAATCTAGAATATTGGTCAGTCGGGGTTTCAAATGAGATAGCTCTTTAGAAATCTTACATAGTTATGTGCCGATGTTCGAAAGTCAACACACTGGTAGTATAAGGCGATACAACAAAGGATTTCTGTTCCGAGCATAGGATCCCGGTATAGCGCAGTCGGGTCAGGTAAAAGCTTCAAAGCTTTGACAAAATAGCACACCCCTGGTGGCCTTTTACCTTGAGCCTTGGGCTGAACGAATCCTTTCCCAAAAGCCAGGATGAGAAGAAAATGGATGTACCACAAGCTATTTGTCATGGATTTCCCATCTCCCGAGTAAAACTGCTGCAAGGAGCTCATGAACTCATCTTCATCGAAAAGATGATACAACTGCCCGCATCGGAATTGCACGGCGTTGATTAGGTACATCGTGTGGTCACGAGTCGGAACAACTGGAACATCTGGGCCCGGAGTTGTTCGTAACCCGTCCCATCCCAGTTCATAGGTCGATTCATCAAATAACAAAGTTTCTGTGGGTAATGGATTCTGATAGAGTTGCTGATGTGCTAAGCTGAGAACTCGCCGAGTGAAGGACCAGTTGGATGACGTTCCAAGATAAACTGTAGGCGTTAGAGTTGTGCATTCTAAGGAACCAGCGTAACCTACATGTGCGGCCATTCGGTGCAGACATAAAAGCAGGAGGACCGGATGATAATGGGTTGGCTAGCCCAGAGTCTAGATCCTCGAGGTCCTGGGGTTCATCATGATCATCCGGAGTAATAGTCCTCTCCAAAGGAGGTACATCTTCGCGATATTTAGGATCTGCAATAGGTTGGTACGTAATCACCTAAGCAGAAAGCTAGACACACCGATTTGAGGATCAAAATTCGAGCTGAAAGGGCTCACTTGGCCCTTCTCGCTCTGCTCTATACGCGCAATCTTCTGCTGCAGTTCCAGAATGTAGCTGTGATGAATGTGAGTTATCGATTCCTCTCAAGACTCCAATTGACTTTACCCTCTTGTTACCAGGATCTTCTGATCACGATCGTTGAATATGCAGCTAAGTTTCCGCTTGCTGCACCCGTCGCATGGTTGCGACCCGGAACATTTGATCTTTTGTCTTCGGCATCGCACACAACTAAATTGTTAGTGTACATCTCCATCTGGATACTAATTTAAGACCTCACTCACGCATTTGACGACCGTTTTGTGACTCTTCCATTGCCCGCCATCTGTGTTGAGATATGTTGGAAATCTGTCAGGCCCAAAATGCGGGGGGGAAGTTCCCCATGAGGCCCGTGAGGGCCGTGAGGGGGATCTCTCGTTATCAGAAGGCGAGAGACGAATCAGACAGTTTTGTAGAGATGTGGATACAAAATCTTATCTCCAGGGCTGTTCTAAGAAGATAGAGGAGAGAAGAGAGATAAGTGTGTCGTCGGGTTCCCTCCCGATGATTCAAATAATTGGAGGACAAAAAAAGAAACTGTAGCTCTGCGTACAACATAGTTCTAGAGGAGTTTGAGAAATTCAGTCGCTATGCGGTTATACTTTAGAATACTACTTATTTTATTTATCATATAGAGATGAATATAACCAAGTGAATTTAAAAACTATTTGGGTATATTAAAAATGTACAGACTCTAACCGAGTTATGCAACCGATTATGACTATTTCTTTCAATATTATGCATTGTGAGCCTTAATCCTCGAAACCAGACAGGCTGTTATTCAGACCCCTTCTCCACTCACTTAAATTATTGAGGACTTTTGTAGTAATGGTATTCTATCTCTTATGCAATCTCTCTTATGCAATCTCCCGGTAACAATGTATGAGTGCTTCACGGCGTTAAGTAGCGGCTAGGAACGATGTGCTTAGGTACTTCTATTACTATGTAGCCCCCTAGCAAAATGAAGTCACTAATGTTTTCCACTAATCTCACCAGTCTACTCAGTGAGTAAAAAGCGGAAAAGCCATCTCGGGCGGCCTGAAATCCGGTGTATAGGTAGATTTCAACGCTGCCCAAGCAGATTTCGATTCGTCTCCCAAAATTGCCTGCATGCTGTGTGGCCCCAATGCTCAGTCCACCACTCGCCGAAGCTATCTTGAACACTTTGTTCGTCCACTCGCAACACCCGCTCATCTCTCTTAAGCGAACAGAGTGCGCATGGATGGGAGGCCTTTAGCGCGCCCTGGTCCGCCCGTGCCGTAATAACCTTGAGTGCACTAGGATCTTGGACCGTAGGGATCGGCCGCTGGCCTGCAGCTTGTAGAATAGCATTGAAAATCACCGCCCGTTCACGCCAAGTAGTAAGCACATCAACGGCGTCTTGTTCTTCTTTGATGGTCTCTTGCTTGTTCACGCTATTAAGTTTCATACCACCGGCTTTGCCGGAACGGGCAGGGCCGATTCGCATGCTTTGACTAAGAATTGTATCACGTTTCCACCGGAGACTTCGCCCTGCAATTACGCGAGCGGCCGATTGAAGTACATTGTGAATATTTAAGGCTGTTGTAGAAACGATGTTTGGGGATGATGACTGTGGGGCCGAGGATCGTAGCTGGGATTTTGCGAGCGTAGCCTCCTTCTGAAGAATCTCAAACACATCTAAAAACAACTCAAGAAGGACTGATGGCGGTGGGATATTTGTCGGGCGGACGGTGGCTGTGGGGGCTGTCGTCCCAGAAACAGAGCTACTAGGAGCTGGGCTAGGGACCGTCGGGGGCGAGGTGGGTTTAGATTTGGGCACAGGCTTCACACTGGGCCCATCTGAAAAGTCACCCCAGTCGTCGAAGGCATCGTCGTCCCAGGCTGATGCAGGCGGCCTATTGGATTTGACAGGACGTTTTGTAGGAGGTTTTGTTTTCTTCTCGGAGACCTTGGGGGGAGGTTGGCTAGCAGGTGCATCAGCGAAATCGCCCCAGTCACCAAACGAATCATCATCCCATGTCGTCTGGTCTTGGTTATTACTAGGTTCGAGGTGTTGGTTCTTTTTAGCAATCTCCGATGGATGTTTCACAACTGGTGCGGAGTCTTGCATTGAGAGTGAATCTAGCAAGTCAATTGTCCTAGAAACCCCTGGAGCATCTTGGGGAGGCTCTGGTTTTGACAACGTAGCTGTCATTGATGGCCGAAGAGATGTTGACTGTGCAAGTTGAGTGTTTGAATCAGGGCCCTCGAATTCACCCCAGTCATCATCGTCTTCATCACTTGCTGGTGCGTCAAATGCTGCATCGAAAAATAAATCGCCATGTGGATTCAAGGGAATATCAAATTCCTGATGACTAGGGCCTTGCCACGGAGCTCCCGGAGTTGGATTGGGATGTGTGTTGTGCTGTACATTTCCTGATGACCCGAAGAAATCGATGTTCTCGTCGACATCGAAGAATGAATTTTTCTGGTATTGCGATGGCTGCTGTCCGGACTTATTGTCTGGAGTAGGCGCCTGACCAAACTCTGCTAGCAGATCTGCGGACATTTTGAATGTCCACGGGTGTCATGAAGCTGTGAGAGGTGACATAAAGTGTAGCGATACAGCGATAAAGCAAGTTTCTGCAGGGGCATCGACACAAGATCGAATATGCCGATCCCAGCCGCAATATCGTTTTAAATGCGCAAACTTCCCAATCCGAACTCAACCGGAGTATGCGGTGGGATGTCGCAATGGCCGAGTAGTGCGAGATAAGGCACGGGCGGTCTACTATCGACCCGCATCCCCCTCATCTTCCTAGGCTCCCTCCGTCATCCCCCAGCAATGAGAACCATTGAGGAGACTAGGTACTTCCCCCAAATTATCCGCAAATTTTTATTTGTACTGACTGTTACAGAAAGAGATGGGACATCCTGTTCTCCGACAACGACACACCTTCCGACCTCCGAGCGGCGTTACAATCCGAGCAAGGAGGAAACCTGTGCAATGACGGACTGAGGTCCGTTTGCTGGAAGGTTCTGTAGGCTTGACAACGTAGTATGGAGATATATGCTCATTCTTCATACAGTCATTTCTACTCTTCGACGGCTTGGATAAATCTGAATGGGCGCCTAAGCTTGACGAATCACGGGATGCTTATCGTGCGCTGCGAGATCATTTCTTGAAATACATTGAACATCCGGATGATTTAGAGTCGACTGTTGATCCGCTGGCGGATGATGAGCAGGTATGTGAATCACCCTCTCGCTGTCCTTCACCCAACCTGAAGAATCCTCCTATCTAACTGATTCCTGTTGGAATAACCAGTCCCCTTGGCAAACACTCCGACACGACGAGACGCTGCGTACTGAAATCCTCCAAGATGTCGATCGATGCTTGCAGGAAAATTACTTTTTCCAAGAGCCCGACACGAAATCCAAGTTGACTGATATTCTGTTCGTCTACTCGAAGCTCAATCCAGATGTCGGTTATAGACAAGGAATGCATGAATTACTCGCGCCTATTCTCTGGGCAGTAGATCGAGACTCGGTGAAGGTACACCCCGGAGGACTTGATGCGAACAAGGACAAAAGTGAGGGTTTGATGCTAAAGCTTCTTGATGCACAATTTGTGGAACATGATTCATTTACGCTGTTTCTCTCTGTCATGCAGACGGCCCGGATATACTATGAACACGGCGAGACACGGTCGGCAAATGGCCAGATGGATGTCATTCCGATAGTTGATCGGTGTCATTATCTCCATAAGGAAGCTTTGGCAGTTATTGATCATGAGCTTGCTGAGCACCTGGAAGCTGTGGATGTATTGCCGCAAATTTTCCTAACGTAAGCTGCACATGTGCTTTTTGACACCCATCCATCTTATTCTGTACTAACCCACTGAAAAGCCGCTGGATGCGCCTTCTGTTTGGGCGAGAATTTCCATTTGACGATGTCCTGATGATGTGGGATCTACTGTTTGCTCATGGACTACGGTCTGAACTTGTTGATTTCACGTGCATTGCAATGCTGCTTAGAATCCGTTGGCAATGTTAGTCGACCTGTTCAATTCCACATTATATCTTATCTTACTGACATGCATCATCTAGTGCTCACGGCCGACTATACAACCGCCTTAACATTATTACTTCGCTACCCTTCGCCCCAACCACATACACCTCAGGCTTTTGTGCATGATGCACTCTATTTGGAACAAAACCCTACTGCTGATCGAGGCAGTTTCATCATATCGAAATATTCAGGGAGACCGCCTGACTCCAAACTCCGCAGCCATCCTGGTACACGGCCCACGAGGAGGGCCTTCCTTTGGGAGGACTTCAGGAAACGCAGTGAAAGCAACTCCCCCGTTGGATTACCAAACCGAAATAGTCCCAAAAGTCTCGAATCTCTTTTCCAGGATGTGTCCCAGGGAATACAACGCCGGACAGAGACCTGGGGTGTGGCCAAAGCTGTTCGAGGCGCCGTGACAGAAGCCAGAAAAAATATGCAGACAATGCATTTTGAACCAAATATGCGTCCTGGCTTTTCGAGGCCTGTTTCCGCAGCATCGGCCCCGGACATACAATCCAAAGCGCCCATGGCGGCTACAACGGCCTCGGTCAGACTGGAAACGAAGATCCATTTACTCGAGGAGAGGAATCAGGCTTTATCAAAAATTTTGCGCGAGGCACTGAAGGATCTTGGTTCGCAGCTGGCAAATATCAAGGACCTCGGTTCTGATACGAGCAACGCAGTCAAGCAGGCTCTGGTCAAAGTTGAGAGTGTCCAGGTCTGCCTCGAAAACTCTTCCATACCAGTAGATCCCCCTCTTGAACCCCGTGTAGACAGTGAGTTGAACCAACCGGACAAGTTACAAGAGACAGTCACCTCGACCGTGGGCAAAGCAGAAGGCAACATTGTGGCGAACGAGGATCAATCCCGAACAATAAATCCCGCCAAAGCGGATACGACCGGGCCGAAAGCCGCGAGTGGAACCAATTCTATCAGCTTAGACACGGCAAGTCGGATGAACAGCGTCAGGAAGACGGAGAGTGCACGAGCGATACCTTCCCGATCAACTGTGCGACCTTCTATGACGGATTCGGGATTCTCATGGATGCTTGGCGGTGGCCGGAACCTGTCGGGCTTTGTTAGCTCGACATCGCCGCCGCCCGAACAGACTCGACATCTAGACCAAAGTCGAGGGAAGCCCAAACCCAATGTCTTGTTTGGATTGAGCGGAGATGACAATCTAGGGACGGATTCTGAGCATGGTGAATTAGCGCTGGACAGTCTTCGGGGCTCTCGGGACCCTCTATCAGGGACCGGCCCACCATGATATCTCCCGATTTGGTCAATGTCACTGCTTGCGTATGCACTGGAGATTCTTCCTCCGGGTCGAAGCTAGTCCCACTTCTTATCTCCTGGTAGGCTGCATTATTATCATTTCCTGTACAAGAATTGGCTGCAGACACCCACGCGTAAAAAAGGACACATCTATTTGACTAATTTTCCATTCCATTTTCTGCCTTAATTTACCATGTGAACCAGGCTTCCAACTTTTCAGAAAGTAAGCAACTCAATGGAGTCAAATCCCACATGAGGCGCTCGGATCTATTTGAGAAGCCACTTTACATCATTTCGAGATTTTTGGGACATAACTTGGCCCTGACTTGCTGCATTGGCGGAGCGGGGTAATAATCTTCAAGTATTCGAGTGGTAGCTTGATATTTGGTTCTCTTTAGGATATCATATCTTTGTGTATCTTGTATAGATCTGATTCTACGAGTCTTCAACGGTAAGTTTCTCCGCCACATGGGATAGAAACATGTCGATCAGCCGAGCTAAACAAAACAAATCATCTGTTCAAGGGAGGATGGTTATTTTGTTTTGTTTTTTTGAAGAAAATCCGACTGTTCGGATATTTGCCAACATATATAAATAATACACACATAGGATTATATAAAGTAAACAGATATAAAATACAAAACCTAAAGCAATTACATCACGGAGGGGACCCAGTTCCCTTTTTCCTCGCAGGCATTTTCCTCTCCCCACTCCCTCTCTTCCCCGCTGCTGTTTTTCTTTTTCTCCCCCCTTGAATCCCTTTACCTCGAATTCACCTGCTTGTTCTTCACTTTCTGCGTGCCCGGCCGCGACGCCACATATGCCGCCTGAGACCCTACGAGGCAGCTGCCCGCCCAACCACCGTCCCAGTTGCGAATGACCGTACCCATACATGTCGCATACCTTGCATACATTCACGAGTGCTCGCCTCGATTGAGCCTCGTACTTTTCTTTGTTTACCATCTGACCATCTGAATTCGAAATAACAACAAAAACTCCAAAAAGAGGGACAAGAGAAAGAGAAGAGAGACCTCGGGGATGGGGTCGGCTTACAACCATGGTGGTAAGTCATGCGCACATGCTTTTTTATGTTGATCATTTAGTCTTGGGTTCACATTTCATGGGCCTTGGTGAAGTAGTGGAGGTGAGGTGAAAAAAAAAGAACAGGTTATCGTGCTACTCAAATTGAGCTTACGACTCATTGAGCATCCGGAAGAGAAAGGAGCAACCAGGGCGCGAATTGATTTTCTTCTAAGTGATCAAGTGGCCACGGTCATCGGCTAGCACATGTTCAGAGATGCATCTGACCGCGGAGATCAACCGTCTGATCATTCGAAAGCGTCACATTTTCTTGGAAGGCCCATGGAATGGAAACTTCGAGACGCGCCGATTAAGTTGATAATAAGCTAGGGGAATCGCGCTGATCAAAACTTAGGCGAGCCGAGTCCTCTTTCGTCGCCGTTAGGATCCCTCTCTGAGTCGCCCGAATCCGAGTCCGGACTACACAACCTTTCTTTACAGACAGATCAGTTCCGGGGCTCGGCGGGCAGTGTTTCTTCGGGATATGACCCTCTTTCCAGGTCGGCGACAATACTATTTTGGCTTTTTAGCGCAAAGCTAACACTTCTTGTGTTTCAACAGATCTCCGTTGTTCGAGAACGACCATGGAATCGGTCCATCTGGGCTGGATCGAATACGCCAAAACCAACCCTCGCGAGTACTGACCCTTCCAAACATGTCTTCCTCGTCGCTCTCGCTAGCTCCCATGAATGGCCAGCGCCCAGCTCCCTCTCCCCGCTCCCGCTCTTCTTCTCGAGCTCTCACCAGTCACTTGTCGAGCCGAAGTTTCACAGATCTAGAAGACCTACACCGGTTTCCACTGGAGTCGCTACACTCCTTTTCTTTTGCCCAACAGTCCGAGGAATTTCTCCACAGCCGTCAAAACATTCTCAAGAGGTCTATTGATTTCATGCGCGACCGGATGGGATGGGCCGCAAGCAATGCCGCGATCGCCAACGCACAAGCAAACGCCAGTGGGGACACGGAGATGCAAGGTATGATGGACCTTTTGGCCCGAGCAAATATGCTCGATCCCCATGAAAACCAAATTCACGGCCGTGGACCCATGACAGGACCCGCAGAGATTAATAGCGACAATATCTTTGAGAAGGCCTTCTCGGAAAGGGATTTCTCTCCGGCCAGCACCCGAGACGGAGTCCAGGA